CCCCAAAACCCCAAAACCCCAAAACCCCAAAACCCCAACACCTAAATTCAAACTCATAATATTTTATTCAAATATAATTTTATCAATTCCAAACAAAATGGAGAAGCTAAAATCCCTCTGCTGCAAGCCAAAATCCCAAGACGACATCGATAAGGGAGTGACCATCCACTTTGGGAAAGGAAGTGAAGAGTCAAATAGACATTTAGGTGCAAGTAATAGGACCAGGACTGCCAAATACACTTGGTATTCCTGGCTTCCTTTATCAATACTATTTCAGTTCACAAGAGCTGCTAATATATATTTCTTGATCATTTCGATATTGACTGCAATGCCATTTTCACCAAAAAGCCCAGGATCAATGATAGGAACTTTCTCAGCAGTCTTAATCTTTACTAGTCTTAAAGAATTGTTCGAAGATGTCTTCAGATGGATTTCAGATAGAGAGGTAAATAATGCCAAGACCCAGGTGCTCGATAACTCCTCTGGAGAATTTCAAGAGAAACGCTGGAAGGATATCAAACTTGGAGACATCATCAGAGTTGGAAAAGACGAGAGCTTCCCTTGCGATATGCTCTGCATTACCTCAAGAAAGGAGAAGATTAATGTTGACACCATGAACCTTGATGGAGAAACAATGCTGAAACCCAAGAAAATAGTTGATGACAAAATTTTCCAATATATCAAGGGAGACAATAACGAAAGTGAGAGTAATGCTGGAGATATTAAGGAAAGCCATAGCGAGAATGAAATTAATAATGAAGAAAAACCTGAGCTTAAGAAATCAACAGACATTCAAAAATATGCAAACAAACTTTCTCAGTTGAAAGGAAGAATCGAATGTAATTCTCCAAATGAGGATATCGAACACTGGGATGGAACTGTCTTTCTGAATGATTTCCCTCTAAGAAAAGAAGATGATAAAGATATCCTCGGAGATATAGATTCCATGCTCCTTAGGGGATGCTATCTTAGGAACACTACTTACTGTATTGGGATAGCAGTACATCTTGGCAGAGAATCAAAGATTATGATGAATGCAAAGAAGCCACCCAGGAAAGTATCAAATCTAATGAAATTAATGAATAAGATGCTCTATACTGTGTTTGGATTTCAGCTAGCCATTATTACCTTATTCGCAACATGATCTGTTATATGGACTCGGACTAAGGGAAAAGATTACGAATATATAGACCAAGACGGTGATAATCCTGACTTTGGCACCTGGATCATCCAATTACTTACATATTGGGTTGCTTACTCCCATTTAATCCCTATATCTTTATATGTTATGATTGAAATTCTGAAATTAGTCCAGGCTCTTCTCATAAAATGGGACAAAGACATTGGAGCTAATCCAGATATTGATGAGAAAGCAGCCGAGTGTAAAAATTCTGACCTAATCGAAGAATTAGGCCAAGTAGACTTTGTATTCAGTGACAAAACAGGAACACTAACCTGTAATCAAATGATATTCAAGAGTTGAACTGTTGGAGGAAGAATCTATAGTGAGAGAGAAGAGAGTGAAAATGGAGGATTCCCTATTAACTCCCAATTCCGTAATAGTGACGATAACATCAATGCTGCTAGAGATATGAGTGAAGAGGGTGAACAACTTTCTTGGTTTGAAGAAGCTCAGAAAGGAGATGAGAAACTCCTAGATTTCTTTAATCATATGAGTATTTGCCATTCTGTAACTGTCGATGTTGATAATGAGCCAGATTCTAATGAAGATGAGAAAGAAGATAGCGGTTGTCCTCTTTATCAGTGTCAATCTCCTGACGAGCTAGCTCTAGTAAAAGCATCATTGCAATGTGGAATAAAGTTAGTAGATACCAAGGGAGGATGCTATTTTATTGAAGAAGATGGTGAAGTCTCAAAATACCAGATCCATGCTGAATTTAAGTTTGACTCAGATCGTAAAAGGATGTCAGTAGTGGTTGAGATCAACGGTGAATATTACCTCTATACCAAAGGAGCTGATAACCAGATGATTACTCAAATAAATTTCCATGATAAACAAGAGGAAGAGACTCTCAGAGCACATCTTTACAAGTTTGCTGTAGAGGGGCTTCGGACGCTAGTAATGGCTAAAAAGAAGATATCGAAGAAAGAGAAGGATGAAATCGTAGATGGAATTTACAATATCCAGTCCTCCTCCGCTAAGAACAAAGGGGAGCAATATTTCGACCTATATTGAAAGCATGAAGTAGGCCTCACTTTTGTAGGAGCCTCTGCTATTGAAGATAAGCTTCAAGATGAGGTCCCTGAAACAATTGAGAAATTAATGGAGGCTAACATCAGAGTCTGGGTGCTCACTGGGGATAAACAAGAAACTGCTATTGAAATTGCTAAATCGTGCAGACTTATTCAAGAAGACATGGATACAATAGAACTCTCAGTAAAAATGAACGATCGTAAGAAAAGAGATGATGAAGAGGATAGAGAATATCAGGAAAGAATCAAGAAGGAAAGAGAAGACTACAAGAGTGAGCTTGTTGGGAAAATCAATGAAGGAATTAAAGCTATAGAGAAAGATATTCTATATCTTACTCAAGAAGAGATTTTCGGCCTACCTCTCAAGCGCTTGGAGAAGAAAGGTAGACAAATAGCATTAGTGGTAGATGGGCCTACACTTGGCTTGATCTTAGAGAATGAACAAATCGGAAGACTTTTCCTATCCTTGGGGTTATATTCAAAATCTGTTGTGTGATGCAGAGTAAGCCCTAAGCAGAAATAGCGAAGTTGTCGCAATTGTAAAGAAGGTAAAACCTAGCTGCATTAGGCTCTCAATAGGAGATGGAGCCAATGATGTTCCAATGATTATGGAAGCCAACATTGGTGTAGGTATCAGAGGAAAAGAAGGAACTCAAGCTGTAAGATCATCTGATTATGCAATCAGTCAGTTCAAATACCTTGAGAAATTACTCTTATTTCATGGAAGATTAGGATACAGAAGAGTATCATGGATGGTCTGATATTATTTCTACAAAAATATTGTTCTTGTCTTTACAGAGATATACTTTGCCTTCTTCAATGGATTCTCTGGACAAATATATTTCATGGACTGGTTACCAATGCTTTATAACTCTTTATGGACAAGTCTTACTTGTTTATTTGCTTATGCGATTGAAAGAGATGTGGTATATGATGTAAGCAAAAATTATCCAAAATTATATGAAGCAGGCCAACAGAATCAGTACTTCACTTTATGGATTTTCTGGAAATGGGTAATCCTTGCTTTATTTCATGGAGTGATCACATTCTTTGGCTGTACATACGGATTCAGCGGAATAATAGACAGCAGTGGTAAAACAGACGATTTTTGGTTTGCGTCAACTATAGCATTTTCATCAATTATTCACCTTGTCACTTGCAAACTTGCAATAGAGCTCAACTTCTTAAATGTAGTAGCTATAATAGCAGGTGTTGGAAGCCTGCTATTCTACTGGCTATTTGTCATAGTCTTCAACACAGCATTCTTCTCTCAACTCCTACAACCAGAGCTGGAATATGTGTATTTCAGAATTTTCAGTAACTTCAACGCTTGGCTTGCAATCTTCTTCGTTCCACTAATCGCACTACTACCAGACATGACCATAAAGTATTTCGGCAAACTGTACTACCCAGATGCGAGCGATCAGATCATCGCTAGGACATACAAAAGAGACAAAAGCTTCATCCAGACCTGGAAAAACGTAAGTCTCTCCTCCCAACCACTAAAATTTGTTTAGAAAAATGACTCTAGCACTAAAAGTCTCGACTCTGCTCCAGAACATGGCAAAAATTTCCAAAATCTTGAAAACCACAGATCCCCTAAAAGAAATTTAAGACCTAATGAAAACAGGTACTCTTCTGATAAAGATGAAGAAGAGTAGTCAGCTAAAGAACTGTTTTTGCTTAAAATTATGTCTCATAGTTAGTATTATCTGAAAATTATGTACATTTAGATGAAAATCTTGGATTTTCAACCGAAATTTCTAGTTTCCAAAATTTGGCAATTTTACGAATTATTTTCAATGAGGCCTTGTAATAGTGGGGTTTTGGGGTTTTGGGGTTTTGGGGTTTTGGGG